GGATGCCGCGGGCAGCAGGAGGGGGGTGGCTTCCGGGGCTGAGAGCGCCAGGAAAGAGGGGACTCAGCGGAAGAGAGAATGTGATCGAGAAGCTGGGGGAAGGTGAGGATGAAAGGGATGCATTCAGTACAAGAAAGGGACAGCTGAGATCGCCCACCGCATCACTGCTCGTCCCGGAGCTGCCGCCCTCCTGCGCACAGCCTCGGCCGTGGTATAACCCTGGACCCAGAAGCAGGTGGAGAGTGAAGACCAGATGACACTAGCAGCTGAGTCACCCTCTGCCCCAGCCCCATGATGGCCCCCCAGAAGCATGGTCCCCACTGACCCACAGGCCTTGAGCCTTGATGACCAAGCCCTGCCCCTCACCATCCTGGCTTGAGCTGATGACAGATGGGGAAGGAAACTGAGGACTACCTGAGTGTTACTTGCAGGGCTGAGACTGGGGTGGGGGGCCAGGACTCCTGACACCCCTGAGGATAGGCCAGATGCTGGGCTAGGGGAGGGGGCCTGCAGGGAGCTGGGCCTACAGGAGCAGTTGGGGCATCCCCACCCTTATCCCAGAGCTGCATTTCAGGAGCCCTGGCAGGCCCTGATGGAAACACAGAGACACACAGACAATCCCCACCCCCGACAGAGAGGCAGCTACTCGCCCTGGGGCCACAGGAAACGAACGCCTTGGGCTAAAGCCACTGGCCCAACAAGGAACCGGCGTTTACTGAGTGGCCACTGTGTGTAAGGCACTGTGCTGGCACGGGATGGGGTGGCAATGGGGTGGGGGTGGGGGGAGCAGAAAGTGCTAGAAGAGCAAAGGTTTTGGAGTCAGAGGCAGCTGGGGTGGAACCCCAGGTCCTCTGTGACAAGTCACATGCTTTCTCAGGAGCTCAGCCTCCAAATCTGAAAAATGGGTGCGATGCCACCTGCGTGTTGAGGTGCTGGGAGCGCGGACAAGGGGGCACACGGAGGCGTGCAATGCAGTCTGCCCCTGATCAGTGTTCCCTTCCTCCTCACTGACCCCCAAACTACCTACATGGGGTGGGGTGGCCCTCAGGGGTGCTTACGGCAGGCTTCAAGGTGCTGGCAGCACCGGAGGGGGGCGGGAATCTCACAGTGGGGGGTTATGTGGAGTGCTCCAGGGGAGAGAGGACCAGGCAGGAACAAGCCGGGTGAGGGCTGCAGAATCTGTGTGTGTGAGTGTGTGTGTGAATGTGTGTGTGTGCGCGCACGTGTGAGTGTGTGAGCGTGTGTGTGCGCGTGTGTGTGTGTCTGTGTGTATCTGTGTGAGTGTGTGAGCATGTGTGTGCGCGTGTGTGTGTCTGTGAGTGTGTATCCGAGTAGCAGCTCCAGTCAGCCCAAGGGCCAAGTGGGGAAGGTGAAGAGTGAGAACAGGAGGCCAGGGCTGGGGGGTCCTGGCTTGTCCTCCCCAGACCCCAGGGAGCCCTGAAACCTAGGTAGAGGGAGGGGCAGGGGGGCGTTTCCCCACTCTGGGGCTCCTGAGCAGGGGATGAGGTGGGGGCGGGGACCCAGGGCTCAGCCGGCCCAGACACAAGGACAGGATTAGGAGATTAAATCCAGCAGAGGCATTAGAGAAGCAGCAGGCAGAAGCGGGCCGGCCACGCAGGCGGTGTGTCCTTCCCAATCCCAGGGGTGACACCTCAGAGGCGGCAAGGGGAGTGGCTTCCGGCAAGCACGGGGGGTGGGGGTGGGGCAGCTGGGAGGGAGCAGGCTCAGGGTGGTGTGTGTCGGGGGAGGGGAAAGCCCACAGGAGGGGCTGCGGAAAACCCCAGAGGGGTCAGGAGGCTCAGCCTCAGCTGGCCGCTGACCTTGACCGTACCCTCCACCCTTCCAACGTCTCCATTACTCTGGGCTGGGGAGCTGGGGGAGCCCGGGGTCAGCCAGCGCCCCTCAGCCCGAAGCCAGGACCCTGGTGGTGCTCCGCAAACCTGCTGGAACAGGTGGGACGGTGCAGCACACCTGCCACCAGCCCCATCCCCGCCCCCTGCCCTGGGCCTGCCTGTGCGGGGTGAGGCCAGGTGGGAGGAGTTCCATCAGCTACCTGGACAGAACCGAGTACTGAGCAGGCCCAGCAGCCCGGCGGCGCCCCTGGGCACCCTGGCAGAGCAGAGAGGTTTGGGGGAGGGCACGGTCCAGCCCCTCCAGCATTCTCAGAGGTGCTCCAGGGTATGGGGCAGGGGAGACAGCGGGAGTGGCCCACCTGGGTAGGGGTGGTGAGCCTGGTCCTTTGGGCCGAAGAATACTGAACGGGGAGTGCTCTAGGGAGCACGTAGGGCTGGGCAGGAGGGCAGCCACGCACCCATCCTGGGGGTCACTGGCTGCGGAGTGACCCCTGGCCAGCCACTCTCCATCCCAGGGGAGGCAGCCCAGGCCCCTCCAGACTCAGAAGGGTCTCAGGTCTGAAGGGCTTGGCAGGCCTGAGCACAGGCCCTGGTCAGTCAATCCTAAAGTCCAGGGTGGGGTTCCCAGCGCTGGTAGCCCTTCCACAGGCCCCAACCCTGTGACAGCAGGACCCCATGAGAATACCCCCCGCCCCCGCCACGCCCAGCTCACCCACCTTGGCTGGCCTATTTGAGCTGAATGGGCCTATGCAGACTGCCCCACCCCTTCTGAGCCTTCTCCTGAGGCTATGCCCCCCATCTCCACCTCCCCCCACTCCCGGTCCCTCCCCCAGCCCCATCCCACACTCCACAGAGCCCGGGGAGGACTTCCCTGCTCCGCGTCCAAAGGACGTGGTCAGCCCTGGGTCAGCAGTGGTGACACCAGGGGGACTGAAGGGGGATGAGGCTGGGGGGCTGGGCCCCCTGCACCCAGTGAGTCTGGGTGTGACTCCCACTGCGCCCCGCCTCTGGGCTTCAGGCAGAGCCTCGGCTTCCACCTGGCCGTGCCTGGCCCATCGGGAGGCCCCAGGACGGGCAGTCTATGGGCCACTCCTGCGGGGGGAGGTGGAAGGGCGGACACTCAGCAGGGGTAGCAGCCAGTGGGTGGACACAGCAGGCATCTGGCAGGCCCTCCTCAAAGGGGCCCTCCTGGGAGGCTTGGGGGTGAGGGGCCCTGACCCCACACCGACCTCCCCCTGTCCTGTGGGCCCCGCCCCACAGGCAACTCCCTGCTCACCTTCAGATCCAGGCATAGCATGGGATGGAGTTTCTAGTCCCTTCCCTGGCTCTGACCCAGTACCCTCACCAGACTTCACACCCAGGTAGAGACTGACTGTCCCCTCCACCTCGTCTGGGTCTCTCAGCCAGTGGCCTCCTTGCAAGCATCAGCCCCTGAAGGTTCCTGGATCTCGACCCCAGCCAAGTGCAGTCCTGAGACCCGGCCCTGGCCCCAGCAGCATCCTTCACCCTACAGACACTGCAACCCGCTGGAAGTGCCGCACCTGCTTCATTCCTGACTACCCCCATCCCTCAGGCTCAGCTAAGGCGGGTGGCCGACCACACCTGCAAAATGGCCGCCGCAGGTACAGACCCAAGCCCCCACTCCAGACCCCAGAGCTTCCCTTCAAACCTGCGGCGGCTTTCTCAGCCCGAGAGGGGGATGGGCACGGTTGCCCCGGGAAAGGGCCCTCAGCCAGCTCGAGAGCAGGGAGAGGGTGGGTTAGGTGTGACTGTCCTGCAGAAGCGCACGCTGGGTGTCGCGCTGACTCCCCAGGGTTAGGACAGGGGCAGCCCTGCGCCGCAGGGGCCTCTCCGCACCACCTCCTCTCCGCAGCCTTAAGATCCAATCCTTTGCTCTAACAGGCCTTTATCCCAGCAATGCAGGCATCCCCTGGAGGGGGCGGCCGCTTAGGGAGGGTCCGCGGGTCTCTGTGGGAAAGTCCCTCTTCCCGGGAACGTGGGCGCGCATCGGGTCCGCGCCGGGGCGATGTCGCGCCCGCGCCAGGCAGGCCCCATGACTTGGCATTCCCTCCTTCCCCTCCCCCTTCCGCCCCTGCGGCCCGAGGTCCCCCAGCCCACCCAGCGCCAGGCAGACTGCGGACCCTCCCTGCCCGCCGCCAGGGCTGCGCGGCGGGTTTGGAGGGGAAGTAAGGGCGACAGGCAGCTTAAAGGACTAGCGAAAGGGTCTAAGCGGCAGTGTCCCTGTCATCCGAGCTCAGGCGCCTGGGGAGCGCCGCCAGCCGAGACGTCGCGGCCCCGCAGCCCCCTCCCCTCCTGCAGGCCACACCTGTTACTGGGGCGCTGGCTGCGTGGACGCAGGCCGCATCCACAGGCGGCCCCTCCCAAACCGTGGGTCTTTCTGGAAGGGAGAAGGGGTCTCTTGGGAGGAGGACGCGACTTGGGGTGGGGCGATGGGCAGTATCGGAGGTGCGCACCAAGCTGGCGGCCCAGCCCTCCCGCCGCAGCCCCCGCCCGCCCCGCCCGCCTGCCCGCCTGCCCGCCTGCCTGTTTGGCTCTCGGCTCCAGCATCCGCCCTCCCCCACCCCGGGGACCAGGGCCTCTGCTCGCGCCCGGCCGCCCTGAGTGCCCTCCCCTCCGGCCCGGCCGCTGCAGTCGCGCCCCCTCCCGGATGCCCCATCCGCATCCTCTCGCCTTCTCTCCATCCCTCCCCTCCCCCGCCGGTCCGGTCGCAGTCCCGGCCGCATCCCTAGGAATGGCTCCACTCCAGGGGAGGGGAGGATCGGCGAAGAGAGGGAGGGTGTCTCGAGATGCAGCCAGCTGCCTGCGCCCTCCCCGTAACGACCCCCGCCCATCCCAGACGAGAGCCCCCCTGCAGCCGGGACCGCATCGGAGGGGCCTTTCCGGAGGGCCCTGCCCAGCTGCTAAAGAAGGGCGGACACCCCAGAATTTGCACCATTGTTCTCCACGGGGACGGGGGAGGGTCGGGGGAAGGGAAGGGGCCGCGCGGCGCCAGCGCCTCTGGCCGAGAAGAGGACGCCAGCGCAGGGCGCGAGCTCCCCGCCCCGGGGCGCAGTCGATGCAGGTGCAGGATGCGGGGTGCAGGTTCTGGACGCGGGGCTCGGGAGGCCGGGAGAGCCGCTGCCCTACCTCTCCGGCGTCAGTGGCGGCGGCCCGGCATGAGCACGGGCATGGGCGCGGGTCCCCGAGCGCGGAGCTGCTGCCGCTCCCGGGCTGCTCTCGGCGCTCTGACGGCGGCACCGCGTGATGGCTGCGGGCCCCCGGCCCGGCCCGGCCCGCCCCGCGCCCCTCCCGCCGCGCTGGTTGGCTGCGCGCGGCGCCCAAGCCCCAGCCGCCAGCTGGTTTGTCGCGCGGGGAGAGGGACGGGCGTCGCGGCTGCGGCGGGGATGGGGCTGGGGCCGGGCTGTGACATCACCGCTGACACCGCGGTGCGATAGGTGGGGGAGTGGGGGACCGACACCCGGGCCCGGACGCGCGGCCCCCTCCCCTGGCGCAGCCCTGGGCCCCCCCCCCACCCCGACTCGGACCCCTTTCAAGTGAAACCACTAAATCTTCACCTGCCCCACCCGCGATGCCAGCAGTACAAACGCATCGACGCTGAGGGACAAAACTCGCGTTTGCCCCTCCGAGGGCCTCCCTCCTTGCACCGTGGAGGGGCTGTCGGGGGTGGTAGCGATACTGACTTCTAGGTGTAACAGGTGAGTTTTCAATCGCGCCTGGCGTCTGGGCCAGAGCCCTGGAGGGAGACCAGACAGCCCTCCTAGCAGACAGCCCTCCTAGCAGGGATGATGCAACCGGCCGGCCAGTGGACCTGCCGCTTCTCCTCCCGTCATGCCTCGGGTGGAGACCCCCGCCATCCTCTCGCCCCACTTCTCCAGGTCGTCAGCGCCCCCGTCCTCACGGCCTGTTTCTCCAGCTTAACTTCCTTGGACCGAGTCACACGCGGCTCTTGGTCCACACTGGCAAAGCCCAGCCTTTGTCAATCCCCCAGCCGGAAAACAGGCCACCAGGGACGGACTGGCATCTTTGCGTGCCACCGACCTCCTTCCGCATACCCCATTGCTGGGCAACTTTGACAAAGCCTCTGGCCAGCTCGCCCACCGGAACTGCGGTGGGTGCGGTGACGTCCTGCCGCCCTGAAGCCGGGGCGCCGGGACCCCCTTCCCACGCAGCCCCTGCGTCAGCCTCCTCCGCATCCCCAGGGCCTCGGTGGCGTCGGGCAGGTGCCAGGCGCTGCCCCCAAGGTTTACCCGGTTAACCATTTACCCCTCACACTGTGCAGTAAGGGAGGTGCTTCACCTCCGTTTGCAGCATCCGTGGGGCTTGTGCCTTGAAAGTAGCAAGGGCACAGACACATACACTTCTGCAAAGGAGACCGCCCTACCCTCCAAAGGCCCCCAGGTAGCTTCTGTTTTTCTATTCCCTGGCACCACCTGCAAAAAGAGAAGTTATTGTTCTTCCAAACTTTTGGTAGAAACAATAAAACTATGTGGGACCCCCAGGGAGGGTGGGTCTTTTATCCTTTCTATTTCCAGCATAGTTATCCCTCTGGTCAAATTCTCTATTTCTTGAGCCAAATTTGGCATTTTACATGCTTCTAGGAATTAGTCCATGTCACGGAGGTTGTAGAATAAATACTAGCATATTTATTCTTATACCTACTGTTCCTGTACTTCTTTCTCCTTTTTATTCTGTACTTTGCTGATTTGCATTTTTCTCTTTTTTAACATTTTCAAAGGACAAACTTACACCTTGTTAATCTTCTCATCTTTCCCTTTATTTCATTTATTTCTGTCCTTATCTATTATTTCCTTCCTTCCTGGTTCTTTGGGTTTGATCCGTTGCTCCATCTCGAGGTCAATTCTTAGCTCATTTACTTGTAACTCTTCTAAATTTCTGATCCATTTAAAGGCACCAAATTCCTTCTATAGCACTGCCTTAGCTGGGTCTCACAGAATTTGAACATACAATGTTTTCATTATCATTCAGATCTAAATATTTCCTAATGTTCCAGGTGATCTCCTTTTAAACCCAAACCCATGGGTTACTTAATAATGTTATTTATTTTCCAATAGTGTTTCTTTTATGATAAACTTTTGTTACCAATTTCTAATTTAATTGCATTATTGTCTGAGCACGTAGTCCGTGTTCCATAAGGATCCTGGCAGGAAGCAGATGGCACGTTCAAATGAGCAGGGCCTGGTAAAGGGAGTACTTACAAAGGTGTGGGTAGGAGGTAGGGAAACCACAGAGCTGAGTGACGCTGTCTCCTGATTGCCCCGGGGGTGGGGGGTGGAGGTGCCCTGGCTATAGGAGCAGAGGCCTCCGTTGAGGAACGCAGCCAGCCTGAGCGCCCATCGGAAGGGACTTGGGAAAAAGACCCTGAACCTCACTCTCCGCTATCTGTCAGTGCTCCCTTTGTCTGAGCCCCCCACTGACATGGTCTGTGTAGGACGATCCCTTAGAGCGTCGGGCAAGGGGGATTGAGAAGCACAAACGGAGGACAGCAGCCCCGTCTGCGTGGATTTCTCCTCTGGAACTTATGGAGGCTTCTTTACGTCCTAACACCTCGTCTATTTCTGTAAATATTCTGCGTGTGCTCAAAAGGTTGTGTTCTCTGTATGACGGGTGTAAAGTTCTGTATGTATTTAAAAGTTCAGAATTATTCATTATATTGATCAGCATGTGGAGATTATGCTAATTTTTGTCTGCTCGAGCTGTTAAATTATTAGTTTTAAGTTAAAGTCTCCAGTTACAATTGTTGAAATACCTACTTTTCCGGGCAAATCGGGCGGGCGTTGCTTGATGGGCGCTGAGGCAGACTCAGGCATTTCAATGATTCTGACGGATGTGCGTCGTCATTCTGCGGCCCCTCTCATCAGCGTGCATGTAAGGTCCTTCTTCATCTGTTGCTGGTTTTTTTCTGTTTGTTTTTGCTTTAAATTTGAATGTCATATATGAAGAGGTCAACCCAGTTTCCTTGGTCCATATTGGCTAGTATGTCCTCTGCCAACATTTTTATTCTAAACTTTTTGTACCTTTAAGTGTATGTCTTTTAGGCAACCCATTGTGAGGGTGTCCAAGTCCAGACTGCTTCCACCTTTTACTTGGAATTTAACCCACTCACATTTATAGAACTGTCATATTGAGACTTAGCTTTGCCATCTTATTAAAAATTTCCACTTATTATATATATTCTTTCCTGTTTCTTTTTGAGTATATATTCTTTCTCCTGGTGGTTCATCCTTATTCTTATTTTTATTTTTATAGCAATTGCCCTTAATTTAAAACGCTGTTTCTTTCTTTCTTTTTTTTTTTTTCTTTTTCTTTTTTCTTTTTTCGCTACTCACCACCTGTTTGGTCACTTACTCCTCACTCCCTGGCAATAATGAGATTGTCTGGACTTACACAGTTCTGAGTTATTGTGGATATATTCTATTTCTTTCTTTTGTCCTCACTTTTAAGACAATTAATACACATTCTAAGAAACTTGGTCGTCCTTATTGTCCATACCTCTTGAAGAGTCTTCTTCATTTGTGTTACTTATGAAATACAAAGTATTTTCAATGTGGACCTTGGGTGGAAACATTCTGAAACCTTGTATTTCTGAGAATATTTTTCATAATACTTTCAATTTCACTGGATGTAAAATTCTAGGTGCAAAGTTTGTTTCCTTCAATACTTTAAACATATGACTTTGTGGTCTCCTTGTGTGCTTTTGAGAAGAGTCCACGCTTATTGGGTTCTAGTTCCATGTTCTCTCAGGATGCTTCTAGAATTTTCTTATGGTGTGGATTTTTCTGTCTCCTGTTTGACAGTCTGTGAGTCCTTCAATCTGAAGTTGTTTATTTTTCTTTAATTCTGGAAAATTCATTTGCTTTGTTTTTCAAATATTTTCTCTTCTCTGTTTTTTGGTTTTTTTTTTCGGTACGCGGGCCTCTCACTGTTGTGGCCTCTCCCATTGCGGAGCACAGGCTCTGGACGCACAGGCTCAGCAGCCATGGCTCACGGGCCCAGCCGCTCCGCGGCATGTGGGATCTTCCCAGACCGGGGCATGAACCCATGTCCCCTGCATCGGCAGGCGGACTGTCAACCACTGCGCCACCAGGGAAGCCCCTCTTCTCTGTTTTAGCATCTTTTTTCTTTTGGGATGCCTAGCATCGGTGCCCCTCCCCACCATTAAAATGGCTGGTTTAACAATCACATCCTTCATGTTTTAGCCCTGCCACAGCGCACTGCCCTGTGTTTTGTGCTCTGACCCTCTTCTGAGGTGCAGGTCGGCATCTGCTTTCAGTTATGTGCTCCACCCCATCACCGCTCATCGTGATGCTTTCTGGTTTGAAAATGTCCACTTAGGTTGCATTTCAAATGTATCAACTCGAGGGCTTCACTCCGCTATGGACTCGAAACAGCTTCTGGAAAGATGGGGGCAGCGGGTGAAATTGTGGATTTTTTTTTCATGGATAAAGGAAAACCAGTAAATTTGACAGGTTCAGAACTGAGGTCAAGGAGTCTCCCTGCTTCTGGTTGGAGGCTGCTGCCCTTCTTTCTTCCTGCAGACAGGTCCTGAAAACATGATCAGACCTATGTTGCAGAAATGTCCACAGCAGAACAAACCTTGCTTTCACCTCATTGCAGTGTGGAAAGGAGGCCACGCTCAGAGACTGGGAGCCACACGTGGCTTGCAATGTAAACAACATTAAAATGATCCTACACTTTGACTAAATTCTCTGGAAGGCAAGGGTGGTTCAGTATTAAGGACTCCATCATTATAATCTACCATTCTCGTAAGTCACAGGATTAAAAGAAATAGGATGACTTTAGCAGGTGTTGAAAAGGCATTTGACCAGAGGGCCATCCATTTCTGGTTAAAAAGCAAATAACTACTCCCTTCGGGGAAAGATGGCTTCTTCTTTCACTTTAGGAGACAGCATCCCTTCAGGATCTTGGGGGATAAGAGAGCAGGCAAGGGGCGGCATGGGTTAGTGTCTGACTTCACTCTCTATCAGCTGTGTGACTCTGGGCAAGTTCACCAGCGCCTATGTCTGTCACCTCTCCTGTTGGTGGGATAAGAACAGTACCAACATCAAACGGCAGTGGTGAGGATTCATGTATGAATGCTGGGTCCAGGGCTGGGCGCACGGTAAGCCCTATACAAACAATACTCGTAATGGTGAAACAGCAAAAGAATTCTCATTTAATTAGGGATGTGCCTTATCATCTCATCTC